AAATGTATATATGTGCTAAGGAAGTGAAGTACAACATAAATTTTAAAAATTATATATGTACCGAGAAAGGTATTAATACCTAGGCTTTAAAAACAACAACATCAAGTTGAATAAAACAAACAAACAAACAAAAAAGGCCTTAAAAGAGCAAAGAGAAAAACCTGGCTTAAACATAATAAAACACAATATCAAAGAAGATGCAAACAAAGAAACAGGTCAACCTCACAGAAATCAAACCAGCAAGCGGAGTGTCATGGGTACTGTCTAGACTTGATAAAATTCGCCCCAGAAAATTGAGCAGTTGAAAGCAAAACACATGCTACCCCCTTTCTAACAGCAAAATTTAAGTTCAAAACTTAATGTGAAGCTATGCCAGGAAAATACGGCATCTGAGCTATAAAAACGAACATTAAAAGGCCACACTTCATGTACGAAGTTGAAAGAATAAAATAAAAACAACACAATTTTCTTATTCTTGTAACATGTTTATTTTATAAAGAAATGTTTTAAGAAAATGGCAGTAATTTGCAGCATATATAATTACATTCAATTTTATGAAATGTAAAGACCTCTAACTGTGCATGTGATCACTTAACTGTATCCAAAATAAAACAAAGATCTATTATTTCAGATTGGAAAATAATAGGCAAAATACAATAAACAATTTTTTAAATTTTTTAATTAACTAGGCTTGCAACTGATTTTCAAATTTCTTTTTTTTTTTTTAAGATTTTATTTATTTGAGAGAGAAAACAAGCAGTGGGGAGGGGCAGAGGGAGAGAGTGAGAAGCAGACTCCCTGATAAGCAGGAAGCCCCAATGCAGGGCTCGATCCCAGGACCTGGAGATCATGACCTTAGCTGAAGGCAGACGCTTAACCGACTGAGCCACCAGGCGCCCCGATTTTCAGATTTCTTAAGGATGATATAGCAAAACTGACTCTTTATGGCTGGAGCCACAAAAATCAAAAGGAAGAAATTAACAGTATTATGTTTATCCACTACTATCATATCCTGAGTACCTACTATGTATCTAATCCTCAAAACAACTAGTGGCTCACTGAATACTCATTTGGAAATCTTATGTATCTTTAATTCATTATATTTACAATAGATCTCAAAAGTGCTTCAAACTGCTTACTCCGTTAAGTATATACATTTATATAGAAAGAATTAAAATAATCTTTTACTTCTCTTTTCCAACAAACACAAAGGGGGGAAAAAGAGAATAAGAATAAAGGTAAGTCCAGGCACCTGGCTGGCTCAGTTGGTTAAGTGACTCACTTCTGCTCAGCTCATGATCCTGGAGTCCCAAGATCGAGTCCTGCATCAGGCTCCCTGCTCAGCAGGGAGTCTGCTTCTCCCTCTGACCCTCCCCCTTCTCATGCTCTCTCTCTCATTCTCTCTCTCTCAAATAAATAAAATCTTAAAAAAAAAGAATAAAAGTGAGCCCAGTGAGACTAACAAATAGAGAACAGACATTCCAAACAGGAAAGAGAAAACATAGGGGAAGAACAATCAAAGAAATAATTCAATAAATTTTTCCAAAAGTGAGTATTCAAACTGAAGGGCCAACAGTGTGGAAATAAAAAACTACTCCAAGACATAACACTACCAATTTTTGGAACACTGTGGGAAATAAAAAAGAATCCGAGTTTCCAGAGAGAAGGAAGACAAAAAAAATAGAGGGGAAAAAAATGCATGAGAAGCTAGACGACAATGGAGCAATATCTTCAAAATTCTAAAAGGAAAATTAGTTCCAGCCTACAATTCTATTCAGCAAATTATCATTTAGGCATGAAGATATAGAATAAATGCCATTTTCAGACAGGCAAGGCCTCAAAAACTATATATTTCCCAGGTACTCTTCCTCAGGGAATTACAGAAGGTCACCAAAACAGCAAAATAAACCAAAAAAGAAAAAAAAAAAAATAGGATCCAGGAAACAGGTGATGCAACGAAAAATATAAAAGTAATCCTCAGGATGATGAAGTGAAACTTACAGACATTCTTAAGGAAATAGCTATGCGGCAGACGAAAACCTACATCAGAGCAGGTCAGAAAGTTCTGATAAAGACTTCAAGAAGACAAAACCTACAGAATATCTAATGCATATGGTATACTATAGAGGGATCTACACTAACAGGAATGAGTTTACCGTTAAATCTATAATAAATGTATTTTAAAACTTTGCAAACTAAAAAAAAAAAAAAAAATTAACTACAAGAACATACACAGGTAAGAAGTTACCAGATAGGCCTTACTCTAGCATACGAAGCCCCTCCATGATTTAGCACTGGCTTTATCTCTTTGACGTCAATATATTACTCTACTCAGTCAGCTTCAGCCAAACTGGCCTCCTTGCAGTTTCTAGAAAATGGCCAGTAGGCTCCCAACTCATTTCACTTTGGCTACTCCTTCTGCACAGAACACTCTTCCCCCAGATATCCAAATAAAGAAGATTCACACCTCTTGCAGGTCTTTGCGCAAATGTCACTTTCTCAGTGAGGGTAACCGGTCTACCCTACTTAAAATTACAATGCATACCCTACTCCCCACTCTGCCACTGTCCTCCATCCGCTGTTCATTTTTTCCCCCCACAGCACTTATCAGTTCCTCAAATACTCTATGTTCATTGTTTGTTGTCTGTCACCCCTTCTAGAAGTAAGTTCCATAAGGTATCTACCAAGCATCTGGAACAGCACATGGCACAGAGCAGGAAATGAATAAATGTTTATTGAATGAATGAATGAATGAATGAATGAATAAGAATGAAAAGGCAATCACGCAATACTACAGAAGGTTCTTGTCTCATCTGTGAATAGCATCTAAATAACCATAATAATATTTACCCAACAAAATCAAAATTGAACAAGAGAAGGCTAGGTTTGTGTATGTGAGAAGGACAGAGTAAGAAAACTAGATACTCATATTCCATAAAGAGACATTAATAGGTAATGTGTAAAACAGAAAAATCAAGAAGTAACAACACAGCATTTTATTTTTATGTATGAAAACAACCGATGGTATCAAATAAAATATCTCAAAGTAGTTATCTTTGGAAAGAAATTAGTGAAAAGGTCAGTTTTTAAGATTATTTAACAGTTGAAACTACACAGAGATATAACTCAAAAAAGGTAAATTTTTTTAAAAAGTCACATGTTGGAAGGAAATACTCAATAGGCACATAATCCAGAATTAACATCCAGATCACATAAAGAAGGTCAAGACCAAATACCCCATAAAAATTAAGAAATTATATTTAAAAAAAGCATTTCATAGATGACAAAACATGAATGGCCAATAACATAAAAAGCTGTCCAACCTCATCAGTAATCAGGGAAATAAAAATTAAAACCACAATGAGATATTCTTTTATATCCAACCAGATCAGCAAATATTTAAAAGTCTGATATCAAGAGCACTAATAAGAAGCCACAGAAACTTTCATACACTGCTGATGGAACTGTGCACTGGTAGAACCATTCTGAAAAACATTTGCATTACCCAGTAAAGTTGAAGATGTACAAACTCAATAATTCAGCAATTCCACTTCTACTTATATATCCTACAGAAATTCTTACATGTATGTGTCAGAGGAATGCATAATCATTTTGGCCACAGTACTATTTTTTTTTTTAAGATTTTATTTATTTATTTGACAGAGAGAGACACAGCGAGAGAGGGAACACAAGCAGGGCGAGTGGGAGAGGGAGAAGCAAGCTTCCCGCTGAGCAGGGAGCCCGATGTGGGACTCGATCCCAGGACCCTGGGATCATGACCCTAGCCGAAGGCAGACGTTAATGACTGAGCCACCCAGGCACCCCTCACAGTACTATTTTTATAACCAAAAAAAACTGGAAACAAACCAAATTTTCATCTACAGGAGAATGAATAAATATGCTGCGATATACATAAAATGAAATATCCTAATGGTAGTTAAAACTGAATGAACTAGAAAAACGTGCATCAAAAAGCAAGCCTCAAAGCAAGACTTGTGTGTCTCCCATATGATTCCATTTATATAAAGCCAAACAGCAAAACTAAATATGAGTAGGTGGTAAAACTAAAAGGAAAGCAAAAGAATGATAAACACAAAATTCAGGACAGTGGTTATCTCTAGTAGGGAAGGATCAGGGAAGAGCACAAAGAGACTCTGGTGGGTGTGGGTTCCTTTGCAGTATGAAAATTTCATAATCATAAAATTCTGAACAAAAAGGACAGACCTATGACTGAATAGAATACAAAAATTAAGTCTTTTTGATGAAAAAGGGATGCAAGTACATAGAGGATCAGTGAGTTTAAGGACTTACAAACAGACACAGAGTAAGTCTCAAAATTCAGAATTTAAGCTAGGTTTGTCTGACTTACAACTTGATAGTCTCCTCATTTAGAGAACCAAAAAGTTAGCTTGGCTAACTTATAAAATTAATGTAAATTTCACTCTCAAACAACAAAATGAAAGGAGAGAAATCACGGTAAGTAGAAAATGCCCAATTTTCAGCTAACCCTCAATGTAGGTGGCAAATACATGGAGAAGTGACATCTACGAAGAACGGGTGACAATTGTAGGAATCAGCTGTGGCACCATCAAAGCAGCCCTAACCTGCAGCGAAGGAGAGGAGGAGGAGGGCAGGGATGCGGACGGAGCCGTCCTGTGCAAGGGCACTTCACATGCAGCCTTTTGTGAGTTCTCGCGACATGCTAGAGTGCTAGAAGTTAGCTACATACTCATTTCACAGATGAGAAAAATAAGATTAAGAAAGTGAAGAGAAAAGAAAAACTTTCTCAGTGAATATTCCCATTGCCCCATATGGCTCAGAGCTCAGTCAGCCAGACGAACAGAAATGCTCAGAAGAGGACTACAACCACATCACAGATACTTAAGACAACTATGCACGAGAGGAGGAAATGAAGAAGCCAAAATAACTTCTCTCTGAAACTGTGCCAAGACCTCTCCATCCACCTCATACTCCACCAAAGAGGAGACATGATTGCTTACCTGTGACCAGGATGGTAAATAGCTGTGCTGATTCCATGAGGATAACGACTACTGAAGCTGAAACAGTGACTCTCTTGATAGCTCTGATTTGTTCCAACACTACATTTAAGAAGAAAAGAGTACCAGTAAGGCCCAGTGAGAGACCAAAAAATACCCACTACAATGTCTATGATTTAAAAGACAGCACCAAACACAGCTGAGGATACAAAACAACCAGAACTCTGATTCGTAATTGGTGGGAATATGAATGACATAAAAACTCTGGAAAAAGGTCTGGAAGTATCTACCCTATGATTCAGCAGTTCCACTCAAAGACGTGACCCAAGAGATATGAAAATACATATCCATAAATACTTGTAAAGCATGGTCATAACAGCTTTATTCACAGTAGCCCAAAACTGGAAATCAGAAGTCCATCAACAGAAGAATGAATCAACAAATCAGGAACGCTATGGTCTGAATGCTTGTGACCCCACTATGGATTGAAGGTCTGTGTCCCCCACAAAATTCATATGTTAAAACTCTAATGCCAGTGCAATGGTATTTGAAGGTGGGGTTTTTGGGAAGTAATTAGGTCATGAGGATGAAGCCCTCACAAAAGGAATTACTGCCCTTACAAGAGGAGGTCAGAGAGCTACCTAGCTCTATTTCCACCATGTGAGGATACAAAGACAAGTCAGCAGTCTGCAAACCAAAAGAAGGTTCTCACCAGAACCCAACCATGCTGGCACCCAGAACACAGACTTGCACCCTCGGGAAGTGTCAGCAGTAAATTTCTGTTGTTGATAAGGCACCCCATTTATGGTACTTTGTAGTAACAACTCTAAGATACATGAAATATTCGTATAGTGAAATAAATTATTATTATAATAAGATGGAATAAACTACTGATACATGAAAAAACACAAATAAATCTCAAAATATGCTAAGTGAAGGAAGCCTTAGACAGGAGAGTGCATACTAGGAGTCCATTAATGTGAATTACCAGAACAGGCAAAACTTATCTAGGATGGATAAGCTGGGGGGTAGGTGTAGACAGATTCACTGGGAAGGAGCATGAGGGAACTTTCTAGCATGATGGTCATGTGCTGCGTCTTGATAGGGGTTTGAATTGCACAGTATATGCATTTGTCATAATTCACTGGCTGGTACACTTAAGATCTGTACATTTCATTGTATGCAAATTTTATTTCAAAAGAGAAAACTGTAAGCAAACCTTAAACTTTAATTAATGACATGCATACTAAAGTACATAAGTACTAACTCTGAAACTCATTAAAAAATAACACTGATTAATGGCTAGATGGAGGGATGGACAGAAATATGAAATAGCAAGTATAGTAAAATGCTAATCAAAGAATTTAAGTGACAGTATAGGAGTATTCACTATAAAATGGTTTCAACCTTCCTGTTACATTTGCAATTTTTAACAATAAAATGCTGAAAGAACAAACAAAACAAAATCTGACACTAAACCAGAGAAAAACATTATTTCAAATAGGAGCTCCCAAATAAAATGTATTTTTACCTTACAAGGTAACTTTTCAGTTCTCCTCGGTAATTGATGACCAGGAGTTCTGCAGACCACTGTGCGCTGGCTTTATATTCTAAAAATATCAACCCAGCAATGGCATAGCTCAAATCACCGGCTAAACTGGATGCCTATGGAAGAGAGGTAAATCAAGGCACTCAAAAGATACCAGCCAGAAGTTAACACATGTATGGTTGGAAGACATCACAGGCACTGGCCTTGCCAAGTACACATTAAGACAGTCCGAGAACTGCTCCATATACTGAAGAATCATGCAAATCAGAGTGCCTAGAACCAGAAACCCAACTTTAGACCCGCCCTCCCAACACAGGCTACAACCACACAACCCTCTTTGGAAGAGAAATTCACCTAGTTACATGAATTTCTGTTGAGACTGTACTTCTGCTATGTGTGTGTATGGGGGCGGGGGGTGGAGGGAGAGTAATGCCACCATTTAGCCTCAAAGAATTCTAAGATACAGAGCTCAGATATAAGGTCCCAAATGTTGACTTTCATTGCCAGCAGTAACCAATGCTTTAAAAAAAAAAGCCTCGGGGCACCTGGGTGGCGCAGTTGGCTGAGCATTTGACTCTTAGTTTCAGCTCAGGTCTGATCTCAGGGTTATGAGATTGAGCAGCCCCAAGTCAGGTTCTGCACTCAGCGCGGGGTCTGCTTGTGTTTCTCTCTCCCCCTGCCCCTCCCCCTGCAGCCCCCCATGCTTGCATGCGTGTGCTCTCTCTCTCTCAAATAAATCTTAAAAAAAAAAGCTTCAATTACTTCCCATTTGCCCCATCAGCAACTAAAAGGAAAAGACACTTAAAACATTCACTCAATGTCAACCTTTTCCCATGAACTAAATATCAGGCTATGTTGCTAAGGATCTGAAGGCATGTGCACCTTGGGAAGCACACATAAAGTTTATCACACTGAATGACTACACCTCACTATCTAGAACCACAAAATAAATACTGTGGCCACATGTGGCTACTGAATACTTGATATATGGCTAGTCCTAATTGAGACAGACTCTAAATATAAAAATAAACATGATATTTCAAAGAGTTGGTACCAAAGAAAGTAGAATATCTCATTAATAATCTTTACATGGATTACATATTGAAATAATATTTATGATATACTAGATTATATAATAAATTTCACCTGTTTAACTCTTAATGCAACTACTAGAAAATTTAAAATTACAATGTGATCATATATATAATTCACATTACTTTTCTATCAGACAGTGCTAGTCTAGAAAACAGTGATCCAAACTTGTTAGTTTGGTTCCCCTGGACTTCCATAATATGAGGCTAACACATTTTTTCAAGTTTCTCCAGTCATTATTTCTGAACAAAAATCATTCTCTATATCACCGGTTCTTATCCCTAGCTTCTCATTAAAAATCAGTTGGAAAACTTGTAAACAATACTAATGCCCAGAGCCCACTCCAATCAATTAAATCAGAATTTCTATGGGTTGAGCCTAGACAAGTAAATTTTCTGTTGTTTTTCTTTTCTTTACAAAGCTTCCCAGCTGATCCTAAAATGCAGCAAGAGTTAGCACTGTTGTTCTACCTGCCTCTGTATCGTGTTCATTCAAAGAAGAAGGATACAAAGTAAAAAGCACTGGATTCCTGAAAGAAACACTTAATTAACTGGATTGCCATGGGAAAAGTCATTCAACTGCCTCTCAATTTCAGTTTTCTAAACTGTAAAATGTGGATAATATCTGGCCAATCTATTCAAAGGGTTGTTGTGAATATCAACTAAGAATATATATCAAACTCATTAATTAAGTATAAAGCACTACACAAATAAAAGTTATTACCACGATTAATTTTTTCTCCACTCTCCCTTTCAATTTCTATCCCCTTCCTCAGGAAGCTGTTCCTATTGTGACAGTCCAGTGACTACTTTCCCTCAATGGAACTTTCTAACATTTCTCTGTACCTCTGTTTAGTATTTACTTACCACCATGTTTCCATAATGGTGGATTACCGCTGAATACTGCATTACAAAATACAAAGAAAAAATATTTCACGTACAGATATCTACTAGATTCTGAACATCTTAAGTTCACAACTTATTCAGATTTATAGGTCTATTTCCCCTCTCCTCACATTCGGTCACTCAAGTACTTTCACATATTTTTTTGAATGCCTTTTATGTAATCAGTTTAAGGTTAGGCACGTACCGGGGTAATAACAAAGAGTTCACTTCCCATGAGATCAAACACCCTCACGGTTCCTGTACTTTCAGCATAGGCCAGCAGGGTACAATCATAACTCCATGCTACACGTCTCCACTGGGGTTTCGGGTCTTTTGGAACTAGAATGAAAACAAAAGAAGTGCTTTTAACAATGTGTCATACAGATAGTTAACATTTACAGTTAATGCAACTAAACTAATTATTCAACTATGTTACATCCTCTCCCAAGGATTTCTAACGCTTCAGTTCAATAGAAAAGAACACTTTCCAGAAAGCCACTCCAAGTAAGAGTGGGAAATATAAACCACAGCAAACTCTGCCCCACTTACTTAAGAAGCAAAGATTACTGACACCAGTGGTCTATCGAATGCTGAGCAGACCCTGGTCCGGCAAAGGCTCAGAACAGTACACCTCAAAATACTTATGAAATTAAGACAGATCAAAAGCATAGAGAATGGGCATAAAATAATTTCCAATCCAATGAGTTCAGCTCCTCTAACAGCAAAAAAATGAAAATTTCAATGGAGATCTTTTAAATACATCAAATATAGGTAACAAGGAAATACGACGCAGGGTTATACAGACACAGTATTGGAGAGATATATATACACACACATATCTCACATCAACATATGTATTAGGTGAATCAAGAACTATCCCTAATCAGTCCCACAATTATAATATTTTAATAATCAACCTTAATAATCCAATACCTTTTTTCTGCTCTGAATTTTTCAGTACAATAATGAAAAGAAAGGCTATCAGCTGCAAAAAAGGGACTGTGAAACTCTAAACTCTGTTAGATTTGTTCAAGGTTTTTGAGGTTTTGCTCGCTTCAGTGTCCCCTCATTAGAATCCCAGAACTGAAGAGACCGGTGGAACCAGTGCCCTCCCTTTACCAGCAGGGATTCCAAATGATTAAGGGACTGACAAGGTGACATCGAGAGTCGAGAGCAAAGAAAACCCAGAACCTATGTGTCCTGCATTCCCAAACAGTGAGCAGCTCACTACCACACACTGCCTCTCAGTCCGAGTTTGGACTGAGCCTCAGGACTGCCTCAGAAGGTTTCTGAGAGTCATGGGCTTCTCTCTCTTCCCCTACTAATAGAATACCCCATTCAGGCTTCACCATCTCTTGCTGAGCCTCTCTCACCGGCCTCCTAATTGGTCTCCTCCCTTCAGTTTTTCCCCCAATCCTTCCTCAATACTCTCCGAAGAGATCTTTCTAAAAAGAGCAACAGATCACATCCTGCAAGGCCCTTACAAAGGGCCCCATCACAGCCTTCCAGGGTTGCCTCCCACCACTTCCTCCACCACAAAGCTAATAAGCCACCAACAACAGAGCCACGTGGCAAATGAGAAAACCATGCATACTCGAGAGTCTGTCTTTGATCCACATTGCTGCCTCTGCCTAGAATGTTCTTCTTCAGTACTCCTCAAAGGGTTCGCTTTTGTTACAACCACCTGAGGTAACAAACGATTCCCTCCTCCTTCCTTGGCACTCTTCAAAACTGACTGCTCTTCTCTCTGTGCCCAAATATCCAGTACAAAACTCTTCCACAGCATTTATCACATCACTTTATGTTGTTTACAGGACTATTTCCCCCACAAGTCTCTGAGCTCCATGAAATCCACAGACAGTGTTCTATTCAACACTGCCATCCTAGAAACTGGAACGGAAGGTGATTAGTGTTTCACTGATGAGTGAAGAGTTCACTCATGAGTGAAGACTAACTCTTTCAGGAAAATCTATACTAACAGGACAAGGTAATGGTAAGAGTTTACCATCCCTCAAGGACTACAAATTAAAGGTGAATTACATAACTGTTCTCTCCACCTAGAAGAGCTACTATAGAATTCAGACTTCCCTCTTATCTGTGTAATACACATAATAGATGTTCTGTATAGGAGAAAAGTATGCCAGCCATCAAGGAGTTTCTTTGACGATTTATCGACAGGGAAAAAGCATACAGAAAAAAAAAAAAAAATCCAAGAGGGGCCCTTGAACACAGGAGGGTCCAGTGGATATACTAAAGACGAACAAAATACTACACACGTTCTAGAAAAAAAATTTTTTAATGGAAATGAGGGAAAAGATCAGTTCCCTATCTTTATAAAGCTTAAATAAAAATCAAACTTGAAGTAAACAAAGCACAAAATGATAAACAGCACAGGAATACAAGACCTGCCTACACAGATGCTACACAAACACCAGGGGGGATAATTTAATGCCCTGAAAAATATTCACGCGCTAAAGAAACACAGAAACATTTTTCCACTATTACTGTTTTACCTGTGATAATAGGTTTTTTCCTCTTATCTCATTTTGATAGGATAAACAGATTTATGTACCACATTCTTTATCTAAAATAAATTTCATCTGAAAAGGATTTGTTTTTACTATTACTTCTAGTGATAGCCAGTAGCTCCAGAAAACTCAGCATGTGTTTTGACCCAGATAAAGACATGTTTTCATCACAAAATAAGATTTCACCTAATAATGTTAAAAAAAAAAAAAGGTTTTTATCCCCACAATTTTCCAGCTGACTGTGTGGTTTTGGAGAGGAATGAACAGTCCAGATTTTTACAAAGCAAGTGTCAATGGGGTTGTCTGGGAAGTATTCAGAATGGCTGCTGGTAAACCAAGCCTGCAATCTGACACCTGCCATGTTCACAGTGAAACCGTTTCTTCTAACTCACATCATGCACCCGCTGTGGCCCCTTCAACCCGCCCGGTTGCCAAGTTCTTTCCCACCTTGCACTTTTGTCTGTGCTGTTTTCTCAGCCTGGAGCCCCTTTCCCTGAGCCCTTTCCTGGCTCCTTTTCATCTTTCAGTTCTCAATTTTTTCAAAAGTTTTTCAATTTCTCAAATCTCTCAGTGATACGTATCACTTTCACCGGATGCGTTCTCTGACCATCCTGCCTAAGCAGCCTCAAGGCCCTATTATTCTCCACTATCCAACGATTTCACATCCTTCACATCTCTTCTCCCAAACAATTATGCATGTGTTTGTCTACTTTTTATCGTCTATTCAATGAACTATAAATTCCAAAATGCCAGGTGCTAGGCCCATTCTGTTCAGAACTGCATCCCCAGGGCCTAGCCCTCTAGTGGTAGTAACAGGCACTCAAGAGCTGACGGAGGACACGCTACTCCAGTGTTCACCCACCCCGACTGGAAAGAGAAATGGGGGAAAGATTAAGAAGCAAGGAACACTGGGTTCTATTCTCAGTGCTGCCATAAAATGAAGGGGCACGACCTTGGGGAGATCACGGAGGTGCAGCTCCCTCATTTGCAAAATGAAGGGTTGAATGAACAATCTCTTCCAGTGAGCAAGAGCAAACTAGTGAAGCTATAAAGACTTGCTGAGAAGCTAAATATCTGAATGTTTGAAATAAAAGTGTTGGTAAAGACATGAGAAAAATGTTACAATCCTGGAATGAGAAAGGTCTCACCACGAAGAAAAACCCTGAAATTATACAGGAAAAAAAAAAGTGACAAATGCAGTTACCAAAAAAAAAAAGTTCTGTGGACCAAAAAAAAAAAAAAACCCACCATAACAAATTTAAAAGGAAATCGATTGGGTGAAAATATTTGCAACATATATGACAGAGGGTTGACATTCATACTATCACACCAATAAGAAAAAGTAATCTAAGAGTAATATAGGCAAAAGGATATGATCTAACAATTCACAAAAAAATAGCCACTTAACATATGCTCTACCTAATAACTAAAAATATGCTTTTTTTTTCCTTTGCCTGTGAACCTAATAAATATTTTTTAAATAGGTAACATATGGTGCTGACAGTGGAGAAAAGAAACAGCTTCAATCATACCTTTTTCATAGTTGTATAAATAGGTGTAACTTTCTGGAAAGAATTATAGTAGTAGCTATTTTGAATACTAAACCCAGAGACAAACAGGATGTCTTTTCCAGTGCTGGGGGAGGGGGTAGGGGCAAAGATGGGTAAGAGAAAGAGGAAGAAAGCAAGCCACTATAAACAACCTAAATTTCTACCGAGAGGGGAATAAAAAACATGTGGTTCACATTCTTACAATGGAATACTGTGGCTACATTTAAAAGACTGAAATGCATCTGTACATACTGACTGGGAAAGACATCAGTTCAGTCAGAGGGAGAGGAAGCTAGAGAACAAACTATACAAGATGATCTTGTTTTGTTAAAGAAAAAAGTCAATCCCTGTATATATAGGTTTATATAAGCATAGAAGGTTTTATATTAAATTAATATAAGTTCTTATGAAAAATACAAATTGAAAAAGTTTATTTTTACTTTTTCTACTTCTGTATTGTTTGAATTTGTTACACATATGTACTGCTTTTATCATAAAAAAAAAAACAGGGTAACTAGTTTCAGATTAGATCTTCTACTTTAAAAGAAAAATAGGTCAAAATAACTATTTTCAGACATTATACTACAGGCAGTGCAAGACTATGGTCACTGGGAGAAGCTACTTTCAGCCAGTAGGCACCTTCTGGACCATGGTGGATGAAAAGGGACCTCCAACAGCATGTGCAAATCTCAATGAACACAGCAGATAAAGAATGGAGTTTGGAGCTACGAAGCTGAATACAATCTGCAAGGCAGCATTCCAGAGGGAAGTGAGGCAGAGAAGGAGGTATAAAAATCTAAGAGATGAACCCTGGGCCTTCAAAACACACACACACACACACACACACACACACACACTCTCTCTCTCTCTCTCTCTCTGTCTCTCTGCAGGGCCAAGAACAGAAAGACTATTGGGGAAAACAACTGCCTGAGCTTGGAGAGGATTTGGAAATGTTAGAATTCCACCCCGTCGGAGTGGAAAGATGTCAATGAACACTTGGAGCTCTCATAAGAGATCCCAGAAAGACCCCACCTTAAAGTAGGACTAATCTAACCCCAAAGTAAAAGCTATTCTAAACCATATCCTCTAACACTTAAAAACAAGCCTTAAAAGATTAAGCTGACCCACAAAAAAATGGAACCACAACCCAGAACAAAACTCAATAATCAGGGGAAGATAACAGAACTTAATAACTCCATAATGTTGAGCATACAATTTAAAGTGTCAGAAAAAAATAAAATAGTAAAAAAATAAAAAATAAGGGGCGCCTAGGTGGCTTAGCCAGTTAAGTGTTTGAGTCTGGATCTCAGCTCAGGTCTTGATCTCAGGGTCATGAGTTCAAGCCCCGTG